CAGAACTTTATGTTTGCCCCAAACTATTTTATCAATTTGTTACCCTGGGGACTTGTAGTGTTATTCCATCAGAACTGTATGAATGAGCGGCTAGCATCATGCTGATACAAGAAATTGTGGAGTGGAGGGAGTTTTTTTTAATGCTATGTTAGGATTGGCTCTGTTAATAGGAAAATCCTTTTCTGACTACCTGTCTTAGGACACTTTCATTAGTGATTTCTAATTCATTGTTGTTGTTTTTTCTGGTTTGTTTTCAGGTTAATTTTTAGCATCAACAATTCTAGAGATTCAAACAGTAGACTGTTGAGCCTCTTTAGGATGCTCAGTACCTCAATTTGTTGACCAAGTTTTTAATCACATGGGTCCTGTGTGGGCCAGTGAATGCGCCAACTCGCGGCATTGTTCAAGAGGGATGTTTTGAGGGTTTTCATTGCTCCTGTCTGTTTGTTGCAGTTACCTGGCTGAGCAGTGCTGGAATGGCGGCTTTATCTACCTGATCATGCTGCGTCGCTTCAAGCACAAAGTCCATTCTCCTTATAATGGCAACAGTAGCAACAGCTCTGAACCAGGAGAAACACCGACCTTGGAGCTGGGTGACCGAACTATAAAAAAGGGGAAAAGAACAAGAAAGTTTGGGGTTATTTCCAGGCCTTCTACCCACAAGGCCACTGAAGAATCCAAGAGCAGCACTGGCTATGAGTTGGACAATGACCCCATCTCTGAGCTAGACAATGGCCCAGACCCTGAACTTGGAAATGGTCATGCCTTTGAGCTAGAAAATGGCTCAGATTCTGTCAAGGAGGTGGCCGGATCCCATCTAGACAAGTCAGAACTGGACAGAGGGACAGAGCATAGAGTTCCAAAGACAGATGCTCCTCTGCCCACAAACAATGATAAGCGCCGCTTCTCAAAATCTGGGAAGACGGACTTCCAATCGAGTGACTGCCTAGCACGGGTAAGGTTTGGTTTGATTATAGAACCTGAATTTTAAAAGAAATATTGTTTGAAGTTGCTTTTCAGGTTTAAAAAAAATATATCTAAGGTGACCTTGCACTTAGACTCCAACAAATTTATTAAGATAAATGATCAGAGGACATAACTATAACAACCAAAAAATCCCAAGTCATTTTATCCTACTTAAATAAAGAGCTAGTCGAGTGATGGTAAGTGGAAAATTCAAGCCTTCTGTGGTGTAATTTGAGTCATATGAGGCCAAGATAAAGTACTTGAACTGCATCATTATTTATCACTGCTGTCACCAGTGGAATTGCCACTGCAAAGCCAAGAATTCCTGGTGGCAGTTGATAGCATAAACATCCAAGCTTCAGTATTACACAGGAAGGATGTCCAACATGCAGGGAAGCATCTGCTTTTATTTTTAATACTTCAAAACCAGTGACATTTGCATGGGACCATGTGATCACATTGCTGAATTCTGGCAAAGTTTAGAAACTTCACAGAAATCTGTGATACTATGATATCCAGCTGTGATGGTCAGGGCTAGTCTTACTACCTAAAGGCAAATCAGATGTGATATATTCTCAATGGTGATGGGCACTCTTCCAGCCTCAAACTGTCTCCTCCATTATAACCAACATTCTCTCATTAAGTTACGTTTCTTTAGGGTTAGCATATTCATTCCCAGAATCCTCTTGGCAGGCACTCCTGTGGATCCTAAGGAAGCAGCAACTTCCTAAGTGGTTCCTGGTTGGTGTTTTCTCTGACTCAGGAGACGCCATCTAGGGATGAAAGAGAAAGTTGGAAAGATGGAAAATGGGCACAGAAGGAAGTATCAAGTTTAGCTTTGCATGCTGGGAAGTGGTGCCCTGTGGGGTGAATGTAATTTCTAGTAAGGCTATTTCATGTATATTTCTGTATTTGCAGCCAGTCTGTATAATGGGCTGAGAAGAATTGAAATAACTCCTCTCTTAAGGGTCAGTGTTCCTTCATTTGAGGAGCTAGATGATCTTCATAAAGCCTTACACAAAGGAGGCACATTTGTAGATGGATTGTGTAAGCAAATCAGAAGAAAAAAATTAATGTCTCTATCAATGCTTTTCTACCAGTTTATGCCACCCCCCAAAGTAAGGCCCATAAAAATATAGGTTTTCCTCCACTATCCAAAAATAAAGCATTCTACAAAACATTTCATGAGCCTAAATGGCATAAAGCAAAGAAGCAATTAGTATTAATTTATTTGGGAAATTTTTGAGCATTCCCAGACCCAAAAAATAATCTACCAAATCATACCAAATAACTCAATCTAAAATATAGTAAAAGCAGTACCACTCTCACTGCGTGGGGTGCTTGCTGCCTCGAAAACATCTCACTGCAAAACAAATACTGAATGCTATTTTCACTTTTTGCCTTTTTATGTAAAAGCAAAAATCCTCTTGGGATTTCTTTCAGTTAGTGAAAATAGGTACGAGTGTAGGTTTTTCATAAAAGCAAAGTGGCGAAACACAAACTTTCGAAAAGCAGGCGATACCTATATTATAATTTGTTCCTTATCAATGGGTACTATATGTTGATATGATTTTTTTCCCTAATGACTAGATTGTAAATACACATGAAGCCTGATGTGAAAAGCACAAGTTAGAGAGTATTGGTACCTTAATCATTTTGAAGTTTTAAGGTACAAAAGTTTAAGGTGAATCGCACATACAGTTCAAAGAACAGGCTTTGATTTGTCCTAGAATAAGTGGAAATAATTTGGAATGATTTAAAAAAAAAAAAAACAAAAAAAAAACTTTTAAGAAAGTACCATCTTCTGCTCATCCTAATTAAAGGCAATAATATAAAATTGAATTTCTGGATAAACTATCTGAAGACTACACATATCAGAGTTCCTGGTTTTGCACTCAAGGTCAAATGTCCAAGAAACTATAAATGAAATGGTGAAGAAAAACCAAACCTTGATCTATAGTCTTTGGGGCTTGTTTTTTAGTGGTGGTGGTGGTGGTGGTTTTTTGTTTGTTTGTTTGCTGCATGCCTATAGAAAGAAGACACTTATCATCTGGAATTTGCATTCTTCTTAAATCTCAATGATCTACAGACTGATTATTGACCCTGGGTTGTACTTTTGGTCTTGGAAAGTAGAAGTAGGACATCTTATCAGACACGAATATTTTAGGACCCTTTTCAGTTGCAGAAGTATCTTCATTAGATGCATGTATATAAAATGGATAGAGTTGGCAAGAAGTAGCTTTCCCCCCACATCTAGGTGACATCCAATTTGAAACCAGTAGAGCTTCATAGAAAGTTACTTAGGTCCTTGGGCTGAGTGGCTTTTTATTTTTACTCCAGGATGAGACCAAGGACATGCTAAAATGGAATTTCCAGAAATACAAAAATTAGCTATTTACCTCTTAAGCCTTTGGGGGAAAACATTCCATTCCATTTGAATAATGAAAGATTAAACATGTCAGCAGTGCTCCTTTTTTGCTTTACTAATGATTTAATATATCTGCAAAGACTTAATAAATTAGAGAAAAGGCTTATAATGATCCTTCAGAGCATTTTTATTTGTCAGGTGTTTCTTTTTCATAGACTGTTACTTGTTACATGTTTTTATAGTCTGGTCTCCTTTAACAGAGTTATAGGAAAATATCTTCTTTTGAAAAAAGTGATATGTTTCTATAAAACATTAACACATAATGATAGGCATGCAACCAGATTAATTTTTAAAACTACAAAAGTTGGACCCATTGTCTAAAACGTGTGCATCTCCTAGGACATAGACAAGCAGTTTTAGAAATGTGTTTAATGTTACTTACTCCCTGTCTAGTAAAGATCATTATTCACCCAAGGTGACAGTTTTTGCAAGCCTGTTTAGATATAATCTATATTTTTGTAATGCTGTGGGGTAAAAATGCTTATAACCAAATGTAGTCACATAATAAAGAAAAAAAAATTCTGCTATTAACAGGTAGGTGAATTTATTTACGGCTGGCACATGTGTCTGTAGGTCGCTTTGTGGTCTTACCCTAGTATTACAATCCGCCCTATACTGCCAGACCTCTTCCCTAGGCCTTCAGCAGAGACCTCAGGAAGGCTGCCCCAGGTCTGAATCTGCGGGGAAGAATGGGAAATGCAGGAGACTGACACGAGGACCGTGGTGGTCCCTGGGGTTTGCAACAAGCGGAGAGGCAGCATGAGGATGAGCCTCCTCTAGGAAGCCCCTGTGGTCGCTGGGTGAATTTACATCCCCCTACGTGTTTCCTAAGCCCATGTCTGCATCTTTACCTCCTTCCTGAGCCCGCAGTTTCTACCAACTGCCTGCAGGATGTCTCCATCTTGGATATTTTCTATCAGACCTAAAACTGAATGCATCCCTTTTCCACACCTCCAAGTCTGCTCCAGTGTTCCTGGTCTCACCACCCACAAAGTTGCCCGAGAATCAACTCATGACCACTCGTCATGCTTTGTCCAGAAGGTTCCCTGGTTTTGCACTTACATTCCCATGTTCTGGGAAATGCCTTTACCCCATATTGGAAGCAGTTGGCCTCCTGGAGTCCACTGAAATGCTGCCCTCTCTCTTATACCATGTCCAGCCAGTCATCAAGTCCTGTCAGCTCCTGCTCCCTTTAGGATCTCCGTGCTCGCTTCACTTCTCTTTCTCCCACCCCACAACTGTAGGTCGAGGCCACGCTGCTTTCGTTTTTCATCTGGACAGTCATAGAAGTCTCCTACCCATCTCACTGCCCCCACTCTCATCCCATCATGCACTGCAACCAGAAAGACCTCTCTAAAGAGCAAATCTCATCACAGATGCACAAGCATAGGCACACACACTGCAGGGTAAACCCTTCTGGTGGGTCCACTTTGCCTTCGGGGTAATATCTGAGCACCTTGGCCTGGCATAGCCTGTGAGGCCCTTCATGATCTGATTTCCTCCTTAACTTTCTGCCTCCCTGACTTGGGCTGAATTAGTTATAATTTTTTCCGAAGGCCGTGCTCACTCCTGCCTCTGAGGCTTTGCAGCTGCTGCTCTCAGTATCCTGTTTCTTCTGCCCTGTCCAGTGTAGCTTAGCTTCTACCTTTCCTGGGGGCCAAGCCTCTAGGAGGCTTCCATAACACCCCTGCCACCTGCCCCCATCTTTAGGCATCTCCTCTATGGGCTCCCGCTGTACCCCCTGCTTATCTTCATCAATGCACAAATGCCACATACTTGAAATACCATTTTGCTGTGTGTCCTCAGTAGACTTTGAGGGTGAGGACCTTATTTGTCGTCCTGTCCTAATTCAGTGCCTCGTAGGTGCTATATAGCCATTTAATAATGAAGACACCAAAGAGCACCAGGCCCAAGAGATGGACACCAAGTCCCAGCACTAGCCCTCCCATCCCAGCTCGGTGGCCTTCGGGCTGCAATGTCCTTCTCTGAGCTTGCATCTTCTCACCTATAAGTCAAGCATTTTCATCTGATGACTAAGGAACTGCAACTTTGCCATTACGATCACACATTTCTTCATATCTTACTGATTATTCTAAATAAGAAGGGATATACAAACAAGTTTCAGAATAAGTTTGCAACTAGAGCCAGAGCATTTAGTGCAGTGAAATTCTAGTTGGATGATGTATCGCCTCACATTTGGGGCAAAGATGCTGTTGTAAAATTTTATTTTGGGTTCCAGCAGAAGATCAGGTCATTTAAATGCTGCCAAGATAACTCCCTTTAATGTACCACCCCTGTTTGGTAAATAAACCCCCTTGTTTGCCTCCATGTAGAGATGCACATGTGAGCTCACACAGTCATTGCCCCTTTGTAGGAAAGGGTGGCACTCCAGCAGCATTAATACAGAGGTGCATAGCATCCAGTTCTGCTAGTTTGGCTTTTTCTCAACAGACTGACAAAGGCTCATTGCCCTTTAAGCCAGTGTAAAAGGAAGCAAAGGGCTGAGCCATCTGTCTAGACGGGATCTGTTTCAGAACTCGGTCATGTCTACAACTGGACCAGTGTTCCAATGCTGAACACTGGCAAACATGCAGGCCCCCCATCTGAGCAGGCCTCTTCAGGTCAGCTTCAATAACTCCTGAAGAACCATAGATGAGTGGATAAACATCTTATCATTGTTCATTCCATTCATGCAGTATTGTTATGCGCTAGGCACTGTTCTAGCTGCTAGAGATCCCGCTGGTAACTGAGAGACAAGGTTCCTGTCCCATGGCATTTATCCCATGGAAGGGGCCCCAAGCCGTAAATAAGCAAATCAGAATGTTAGGTTATAGTACCTAACAACAAGCACTATAAATGAAATAAGACAGGGTGAAGAGGAAGATGGCTGGGCAGTACCATGGGTGGAGGGCTAACTGTATTGGATGTCAGTGAAGACCTCATCAAAGAGCCAACGTTTGAGCTGAAGACTGAGTGTCAGGAAAAGGCAGCCCCAGAAAATCTGGGGGCAGGATGTTTCCAGGGAGGAGCCAGCACATGTCCTAAGGTAGGAGTGACAGGGTTCCAGGAGCAGAAGAACCGAAGCACAGTGAGTGATGGTGAGAGCACCAGGAGGTAACTCAGGAGATGTAGGAAGGGCTAGATTACAAAGGTTTGTGCATGTCACCTTGAAGAGTTGGACCTTATTCTAAGTCTAGTGGGGAGATTTAAGCTGAGTGCATCGAGTTCACCCTAGATGTGTAATGAAGAAATGAAGAAGAGTGCATTGTAGGAGGTGAAGAGTTAGAAAGGAAGACCAGGTTAGAGGCTGTTGTGGTAACCCAAGCTGAAGATGCTGGTGGCTTTGACAAGGGAGGTGACAGGGAAGAGGAGCAGAAGGAGATGGATGTGAATCTATCTTGCAAGTAAAGCTTACGGATCTTGCTCATGGTTTGCGTTAGGGAATAGAAGGGGGAATCAAAGATAACTCGTGGGCTTTTGGACTGTGCATCCTCCTTATCTTGAGTAGATGATAGTCTTTTTTCCATGGAGATGGGAAGGCCAGGAGTAGGTGGGGGGAGAGTCCTCTGTTTTGACCATACTGAAGTGTGTGTTAGAGCCCCACATGAAATTGTAAGGAGGCAGCTGGAAATATACTTAATATTATTATATTTAAGTTGGTTATTATATTGTGTTGGAATTTGGCCAGTACCAGCTTTGGCCTAATGAACTTCAGACACTGATTTTATTTTCAGCTGAGCACTGTTTTCAGCTATAGGCAGCTTGATTTAATACCACACTGACAATTGTACAATTGAGACTGATAACATCAGCCTCTTCCTGTTTGTGACTTCCTTTGTGTACCTTTGAACTCCTCATTAGATGAGCAAGAAATTCCAAGGCAAGGAAACTTGCACTGATTTCTTTGAACTCTCTCCTATAGTTCCTACTTTCAATTAGGAAAAGAAAAGATTATGTTACTGGACAAAAGTGAAAAAGAATATGATCTGTTTCTTGACTAGTATAGTTGGGGTTTATATTACAGATTGGTCATTTCTACCCTCTGAAGCCATTTTTAGTAGATATGTGTTTTTGTTTTGCTTCTAACTAGTTGTATGTGTTAGGCAGGGGCAGGGGTGTGGAGTGGTATGTGGGTGCTCTTGATGAAAATTGTCTTTAACTCTTTCTGTCAGAGTATACATTAGGCCATTATTCTTTCTCCATGACCATACTTTTGTATGTTTCTTGTTACAGGTCCTATTTCTAAAAGCATTTAAAAATTAGAAAAGACTGGTCTAGTGTTGTCCCACCCTCTGTGAATGATACTTAACATGTTCTGTTTAACAAAGAGAGGGTAGGACAGGGGGAAATGATGGTGCAACTAGTAATGGGGATGGATAGTTTTTTCTAATTTGGGCTTAAACCAAATGGTTTTGTTTGTTTGTTTTTTCTAGTCTATTAATGGTCCCTGTTTCTCTTGGGAAAGAGTTCTACAGTTTTTCTGCCCTGGGCGAGGGAGGTCTGCCCTACATCTTTAAGACTCCAAGAACCATTGGCATATCTTCCAAGGAAAGAGCAAGTCAGGCCACCCTCTGCTCTAGTTTCTCAACTGCGTCTTGAGGCCCAGGGAGGCGGCCACAGGCTGACCCATGAGCTAGTGCGGGGTGCCCAGCAAACCAGGACAACAGCAGATTAGCACATCCCTGAATTCATTCCCTTTGGGGCTATCTACTAGACCATAGGGTCTCATGTATGGGAGATGTTGAAAGTTGCCAACTTGGCGGCAGCCCTGATTCTCAAGGATGGCTTCTTGAAGTAGTGGGGCTAAGTGAGACGTTGAAGGCAGGGGGGAGGCTGTTTCTGAATAAGGAAGAGAGAAAGGTGTTCCAGAGGTCAGCGGCAACAAACCAAAAACCGTGAATCCAAAGTGAGACGATTGGATGATATAGAGATTGTTGACAAGTTCATGAACTACTGTGGTAAGCCAGTGACTTCTGAAGTTACAGTTGGCCAGACAGACTTTGTGTGTCTGTGGTGAGTGGATGAAGGAGACAGTTGGCATCACTGCATGTTGCTGGAGTGATGGAGCCCCACCGAGCAGTGCTGTACTAGAAAAAGCATAGGATCCAACAGGTCTCTGTCTGGTAATAATTTCCCCAGACATTCCTGTTGCTGCACATCAGTGACCATTTAACATCTGGGTTTTTTACTATTGCGTAAAGTTTCACTTTAGTTTCTGACTGTGTATTTCAGATTTTCTAAATGCTTCACATTTTTTCTCTTTTGCAAGCAGCTTGAATGGGCAGGTTGCCTATTTCTAGGGGGATGTTGGCTTTTTCCATATTGGACCTTAACTGTTCCATTGGACCTTCATGATGGATGAAGAAAGCATATGGTTTTTGTTTTATATGTTGAAGAATTCATTGTGTCCCATATCCCTACACCTAGAACTAAAAAGAGCTATAGGGGCGAGCCTAAGTAAGACCATTAAATAAACCGCTTTGGAAGGTTTTGCTTTCATTTCTCTGAATAGCTAAGTATCTGAAGAAACTCAAACATTTTGCAGTGTGTTTGCATATGTTTGTGTCCTTGGAGTGAAATAGAGAGTCAAGTGGAAAATGAACCAAACCAGAAATGCTACCAGCAATCCAGAGGACTTAAGAGACATTTATTAGTTTTAAAAAAGGATGCATTTTAATAAGAGTTGAAGCATTTTTTAATGTATTGAAGGAGTATACAAACTAATGTCTTTAGAAGTCAATAACAAATTTATCAATTAATTTCTTGTTGTGGTTTCTCCTACCAAAGATTTCATGTTTTAAGGAAATTTGAGATTTAATTCAATATGATGTTTTTAACATATATATATGTATATATTTATGTATCATAAGTAATATATAGTTACCTATCAACATTTATTATGTATCTAGTAAATGTTGGGAACATTGCCACCTGTTTCCATAAATATCTGATTTAATCCTAGCAACAAACCTGAAAGTATTAATAAATTTTCCCCACTTTAGAGGCAAGGAAACTGAGGTTTTTAGGCATAAACTGACTTTTATAAGTACTAAGTGGCAGAGCTAGGCTCAAACTAGTAGAAGTCGCCTGGCACCAAGACCTAGCTTTGTCTTCCTTTCATCTGTCCTTGTTGACTCGTAGCTGTGTGTAAATGAAAGGAAACCAGACTCAGCCAGTATTTATACACACACTGATTTCTGGGTTTCAGGCAGAAGAAACCTCACTTAACAGGACCCGACTCAGGGAATGCAGTAATCACGCTTGCTGTGCTGTCCAATATCCTAGCCACTAGCTAAAGGTGGCTATTTAATTAATACTAAATGAAGTTTAAAATTCAGTGTCTCCGTTGCCACTAGCCATATTTCAAGCACTGAATTGTTCCCTGTGGCTGGTGACCTCCTATTGGATGGTTCAAATACAGAACATGTCCATTCTCAGAGAACATTTGACTAGACAGCACTGCCCGCTAGAGACATTGACCCAGCCCACAGGATTTTTTTCTTCTGTGGTCACCTGCGATATCTGTTGACAAGTGACGAGAATTTGGCCAGACCGCACAGCTCCACACTCCTGTGAATGCCGTGTGCCTGTCTGTAAACTTCATAGTGTGCTCACTTTTTCTTCCAAGGAGGAAGTTGGCCGTATCTGGAAGATGGAGCTGCTTAAAGAGTCCGATGGGCTGGGAATTCAGGTTAGTGGAGGCCGAGGATCAAAGCGCTCACCTCACGCTATCGTTGTCACTCAAGTGAAGGAAGGAGGTGCCGCTCACAGGTGACTAGATAACCCTCCCCGTCTATTCCTCCTCATCCCCTCGCGTCCCTCCCCCGGATGTTAGGACTCTTCCACTTGGTCAGAGCGCTGGTGATTATAGGTCATATGGATGGATGATGCCCAAGCACAGAAGGAAATCAGGCACAAGCAGTTCTAATTAAACCCATCTCTGAGCACAGGAAGTAGCTAATTGCTGGAGATCCCACAGGCTCCCCCAAACCTTATGAAGGAGAGATTGGATTCTTTCTAGTCCAGATTGAGTTTCAAGCGAAGGCTACTTATCCTAACTTTTGAGATGCTTGGGATATGTGGTTACTTGTCAGGACTGTACCACACAACAGAACATCGCATTCCTGACATCCGAACTCCCATATGACTGTGGCTAAGGACGTGGGAAAGGGATTGGTTTTGAACGTGTCCGCAGCTCATGTGCTGCGTCTGGATTTGTCAGGTCTCTTGGGATTCTACACACACTTACATACACGTGTCTCTGTCTTGCAGATGTGGAGGGGAAAAAGTCATTGTGAGTTTTTCTCCTTGTGACCTGAAATCAGTTCATACTTCAAAACTCTGTTTAATCCAAACAGTTGTCCAAAGTAGGAAGAGGGACAGTACCGAGTATTTAGGCAGAGCTCGTACCAAAAAGAAGTCCATTTGGAGCGACAGGGATGTCATTGTCCCAAAGTGTAAGGCATGCTTTTGCCATGCTAGCTAATTGCTTCCATATACAGTAAGTCCTCACTTAACATCGTCCATAGGTGCTGCCACTTTATGTGAAACAACATGTAATGAAACCGGTTTTACCATAGCCTAATTGATATAAATAAGAGTTAAGTTTCTACGGCATCTCATCCATGTTAAGGCGAAATGATTTTGAGGGAAACAACCTTATTCGAGGACCTGCTGTACTTAGGGTGTCTACTATTGGCAGGGCACAGTGGGCGTGTACATACGTTGTGTGCCCACACGTATACAGTAAGCATATAAAGGTAGAGTTTCACTGATGAGGAGGTGAATGTAGTCTGGAATTTGTTAGTGTGTGGTCCAGGCCCACCAATACTAAAGGGGAGATACAGCAAAACAGAACAGTATTGGCCTGCCCAAGACTAAAAGGGCAATCAAAGGCATATCTCGTGAGGTGGAGTTAAAGGAGCTGGAAGAATTTAGTCTAAAGAATGGAAGACTAAGGAGAGGACCAGGGAACAAACTATCAAAGTGTTTCATGCTCATCCATCCTCTAACTTGAAAGTAGGATGCTAATAAATAAAGTAGAGATAAGATTAACTATCCTTGTCAGTTATCTAGGCAGCAGTAATTTTTGAAGAATTAAGACCTTAGATAGTTTTTATCCAGAAGAGCATCATTAAAATTCCCAAATGATGTATGCTTTAAAGAACTCCCACCAATTAGCCATTTTCCCATTAATCCTAAGTCTTAGGTTCTAGTCTGTCTTTGGAAAGTTGGCAATTAGAAAATTCCTGTGCTCAAAGATAAGCTTACATAGAACTGTCCTTGTCTGTTTTCTGTGTGAGCGGTTTCTAGTGGGTCTCACATTTCTTTTCACCCTTAGCCTGGAGTTGTGTGTGTGTCTCTCTGCCTCTGGGGTGTATAGTTCATATGTGGGGCACTCTAGTTAATAGCAGGAGAAGAGCGAAATGGAAATAAAGAGAAAAGGAAGTAAAGAGGTGGGAACAAGGGTGGTCTTGAAGCTGTTCTGGATAAGTTAGCCCAGGGACATTGGCCAGAACCATTGTGTTCTTGTTCCTGAATCCCTCTCCTCCAGAGTGGCCCACGCACACACCTCTTCAGGGTTCCAGTTGTTTGTTCTCTTTGGTTTGTATTGTGTTTGTTCTCTCTGAGTCCCCCTCTCTTTCCATTCCAAACTACTAATGGGGTCCTTAGCATGTCTCTGCCTTGAGGGTTTTTGAAGGACAGAAGCAGAGGGAGTTGGAAGTCTCTGGTGTCCCTTGTCTTCTGTTAAAGCCTAAATTCATAGAAGCGATTATGATGCATGCCCTGGTGGGGGGAGAGGGAGGGAAGGGTGGAGAGAGGTTGGTTCCTTGAAAGGAAGGAAGGAGGCAGAAAGTCCACAGATTGGAGAGAAACAGACTTGGGTGGACCTGGGAGTACTGGAGACATGCATTGTGTCCCATGGCTGCACCCTGAGTGCTAACACAGCCTTCAGAGGGGATGGTGGAACCCTAGACTTAGGGTCATTCAGCCTAACCAGATTTCCTATCCCATATTTAGCAATGGAGATGAAAAGCCTCCTTTGGGATCATGGGAGACCAGATGCCGGGAGGCTCAGTTGGAACCCACAGGACTGTTGACCCACCATAAATGAAGGGCCCTGCCCAACACTCTAGCACATTGTGCCTCCCCAGCCCCTGACCCACCCTAAGGGAGCCAGTTCCTGTCACAACTACGTCTCCTGCCAGCCCAGAGGGAAGGATGCTCCAAGCCAGCTGTAATTTAATTGAAAAGAAATAAACAGAACATGTTTGCACACCTATGTGTGTAGACCAGGTCCAATACCTACAACAGCAGTAAATTAGGCAGCTTCCTGATGTATTTTTGTGTTCATCCTTCTTCTGATAAAGCATGGCTGTAAGGACACAAGGATGAAAAAGAAGCTGAGAGACTTTATCCTTAAGGTCCTATAACTCGGGGTGCAGGGGGGAGGGTGGACAGACACACGTAGTGTAATGTTACAGGTGCCCCAAAGGAAACCTTGCCAAGGGCACATTACCTGGAAGAGAGAGGCATGGGTTAGAGGATTGCTGGTGAGCTTAGGATACCTTCGCTCTTTGGGGGCTTAGCTCAGTGAATCAGCTGATGACTTAGTCATAAGGGCAGGTCAGCAGGTAGAACTGAAAAAAGAAAAGTTTGACTATCCTAAAACCTTGGGGTCTGGGTTTCTCCTTCATTGTCTTCACCTGGATGGGACAATTCATTGACATTGATGCCAGGTTACATGGTAGTAACTTAAGTATGTGCCTCTTACAAAGTGACCACCTGAAATAAAGGAGCATTTCACTCCTCTTGAGTAGGAATCTGGACCCAGCCAGACCAAAGAATCAAGAGATCCCATTCCAACTGTCAGGTCTTCCTGCTTCCTCTTTAGCCTGGTTTTAACTGTCCCCTGTCGTGACCCTCCCCAGCTCCAGGAAAATGTCCCTTCTCAAGCCCAGAATGTCTTGACAAGGGAATTTTTTTCCCATCTCCATTTCCTCAGGGATGGCAGACTGTCCTTAGGAGATGAGCTGCTGGTAATCAATGGTCACTTATTGGTCGGGCTCTCCCATGAGGAAGCTGTGGCCATTCTTCGCTCAGCCACTGGAATCGTTCAGTTGGTCGTAGCCAGCAAGGTAGGTAGTTTTGTTTCTTTTTAAAAATATTTTTAATGGTGAATCTGGATTTGAGCCCTATCCGTACTCCCACCACCCTGAGACACACACACACACACACACACACACACACACACACACACACACACACGTGCTTGCAAACTTGCCCATTTACCTTGGGCCATTTAAATAGCCATGATTCTACAGTGCAAGCCCACAAGGGGACCCTTAGCTGAAGTGCATTTAATTATTTTGCTTTCTTTGAAGGGTCTTTCTAGGTATATTTAGGAGATGGAAAAGCAATAATAGGACTAATGAAAAGGTAAGAATGATAGAGTGGAAGGAAGGACAAGGTAAGGAGAGTAGCAGCTTGCTCAGGAAGAAACCAAAAAGGAAATATGGAAGTCGGCTGGACAGCAGGGTTGAGAGAGGTGTGGAGGGTGCATCTTCCAGGTTCTGAAGGAAGAGTTCAGGGCCCTGGCTCTGACTCATGGCCTCACGGAACGTTGGCGCTGGAGGAAACCTTGCAAATCCTGTTTGTCCAGTCACCACCTCCCTTTTTTCCTCCTCAGATTTATAAATGAGACTGTGAGGCAGAGCCTCTATGTCCAGCTCTCATCTCGCGGTGGCCTTGATGCTGTTCCAGGTTCGTGATGCACAACTAGTGCCTGTCCCCACGGTCTTGTGGCCGCCTCGTCTTCATGAGGCCTCAGGCTGGGACCCCAGGAGTGTGTTAGGATAGTGCTCATGTCCTGGGCCCCCGGCACCTGCTTTCTCCCTGGGTTTCACCAGCCTTAGCCCTCTGGATAAAGGCTGCAGGAGTCCACAGCTGTGTGATGAGAAAGAGGAACTTGGCCCTCTTGGTGTGGCTCCCTTGTCTCATCACGCTGCTGATGAGACTAAGAAAGAGCCCATGTGACTGAGGAGCTAGTGAAGTGGAGCCTTGGGGCTTCATCCCAGTTCATCCCAGTTGCAGTTCAGGGAAAACGTGCTATGAGCAATATGCTCTTGCCGGTGTGGCTCATTTCCCCCCTGTTATCCCTGTTAGGGTTTTGGAGCCTAGCATCCACAGGTTTTTATGTATTTTTGCCTCTTAGACTGTAAGGTCTATTGACTATTTTTGGAATATTTAATCAATAGACTAAAAGAATATTTTAATTTTTTGAGCTGCCTGCCTTTATACACCCTTTACCCCAAACTCTAGGCATAGACTCTCAGGCTTCTATCAAGAATACAGAGCCTTGGCAAAGACTTGGCAGGAAGAATTGGCATTGAGGCCCTGGAGGCAGAAGCTAAGACATTCTCCTCCCCCTCCACAGATACCACTGGGCACCCTGGCATCTCCTCAGCAGGCATCGGGAAAGGGAGCAAAGCCAGGATGTCTCTGTCAGACTGGTGAATTCCACAGGGAGGGAAATACTGCAAAGGAAGGGGAAGCAAATCCCCCATTTGGTCAGATGGGCTGGGAATTTGAAAAGCATAATCTGGTCTTGTATAGACGTGCGCGCGCGCGCACACACACACACACACACACACACACACACACAGAGTCATATGTTTGCACAGCCCAGCTCCCCACAGTCTATGGCTTAAGAATCCCAGGCTTTCTGGATAAACATTATACCATGTCCACCAAACCTTGAGTCCTGTGATGACTTCTTTATCATGCTAATTTGGAAAATGGGGACAGAGAAATCTCTTCTATGTCAAGCCACTATCCACAAACAGACACAAAGAAAACATAAAGTAAAAACAAAAAAAGGGCCACTTATAGGCAGAACTAATAATTAAGGGGCATACGTTGGATTTTGAGAACAGTTTTGATGCCTGACTTATGTATGATCTCACTCAACCACTTAAAGGAAGAAAGGACACTAACGTATCGTGTGCCCACTGGGTGCCCGATGCTTCTTACCTGTCATCTCATTTAATTCTTAAAATAATTCCCATAAGACAGGTATTCATTCTTTTTATTCAAAGGGTGACATCGAAATCTGAGTGATTAATTAATTTGCCCAGAGGTCACACAAGCAGTGGGTGGCAGAAACAGGGTTTTAGCCTGGGTCTCTTAGACTTCAAAATTCATGCCTCTTCCTGTACACCAAGCTGCCCCTTAGTCAAATAAGATATGAAGGACACCAGAGCTAGTGATATTAGGAAAAGATCATGCGTTCCTGCCAGAGGCGTTGACTGGGGTCTTTGGAGGGCTGCACAGCAGTCTGGAGCCACAGAATGGGTGTCGTTTCTAGTTCTTGATCCACAAGCTCTTGACCACTGGTACTGAACTACAGCCCTAAAGCTGACCCAAATCTGTGGGTCACTTCTTCCCATATGCTCTGTTTACCACTAGGCGATATGCTGCTACAGCTGCTGCCTGCTATTTGTTCCTAAAGTTAATCTACACCAGCTGAGGGCTCATCCATGTAGGAGAAAGCAGTCAGTCTTTAAGCACCTCATGGCATCTGTTCCTCTTCTTCATCCAACAAGAGCAAGTAATGCACTTTATTCCCATAGTTTTGAAGAGAGGGAGAGAAAAAGAGCTTTTGACTTGCTGAATATAAGGAATAATAAAAATGTAAATTATTGTTGACAGTAGTCACAAAACTTTAAGGCATTGTTTTAGAAATATAACTGTCACTTTCTTCTGGAGAGGGTGTCTCATGTTTCCACACAAATATGTTGTTTGCTTATACGTAGGAGCTTAGAACATTTTTGTTGAATAAATAAAGCTAGAATACCTAAATTTGTTTTGATATTCCTATGAAGTACATGCATAGCAATATAGATTTCTCTTGTGCTTTTGTTTTAATTCTTGGTTTTTATTAACAAGTACTTATTATATCTAATGTAGAAACCCCAGAAACAAATAGAAGAAAAGGAAGATAAAATTTTTGTAATACCCCCACGAGTACCATATATTAACCGGTGCGTCCTTCCAGATGGCAACACACATACATGTGTGCAATATACACACACACGTTTTCATTAAATGGAATCAAACATGAGGAGACATTGTGTCTGGTGGCAGTCCCAGCTAGAGTAATGTGCCAGGACAGTCCTTTAAAAGCTGTGTATTTGGAGCAAGTTACTACATCTGTCTAAATCTCAGTTTTCTCATCTGTACAATGAGAATCATGGGATGTTACAACGATTAAATGAGCCATAAAGGGCTCTGAACAATGTAGCTGGTCACGACAAGCCTTGGGAGAAATGTTTGCCTTTATGATTATCACATATTATTACATCCAGTTTATTCTTACCTTCATTATTCGTATAGTTACTACGTATTATTCTTAAGCTTTTTTTTTTTCACTAAGGAGCATACTGTAAGAATCTTTCCACATCAGGAACTGCATTTCTACAGCACCATATTTAATGACCATGAAGTATTCTGTCCTGTGACTTGTGCTATTTACTCACCAGTTGGGACCTTTATCTTTTTAAAAAATTAAACTGAACTCGTTATTTTTTGTTTAATAGCTCTGTTTCCTTTCCTTAGGCAAGGTCTGATAATATAGTATTCATAATTACTGATCTAAAATGAGCTTCAGGCATCTTGAAGGTGGAACCTACATCCAATGTCACTGTCACCAGGTGCCAGCTCAATAATAGATCGTCTGTTGTTTAAGATGGATATTTTTGTTGCTTTTATTCTCTTTTCTGTCAACCCCCAAGGAACATGACAATCAAAATTTTCCACATTTTTTCTGCCTTGTAGAAATGGCTGGGGGGGGGGGGGGGGCCGGGGATGAGAGGATACGTTTCTCTCTTCTCAGGCCTCAGATCAGCCCTGCAGCCCTGGTCCCTGGCCTCATGTGCTGAGGCGCTTCCCAGGAGAGCTCTCGGCTCCTGTGTCTCTTCTTTTGCAGTTGGGATTGTCATGTGGCCTCAGTGATCTTGCCTGCATCCCACAACCCACCTGGCTTTATCTGTGCGTAGGAAGGGCTGTGTTGATGAAGCCCCGTTTAGAGTCTAATTTTAATGGAATGATTCCATATATTTTTGTTGACCTCGAAAAGTTGTTCAAGGGCTTCTTTTATTGAAAAGACTATCAGTGTCCACCTTGGCATTGTAATTCAATAAACAGTCTAATCTCTGTCTAACGAACACACGCTAGTGAGATGAGCAATGGGAGAGAGGAGGAAGTGATGGATACTTGAACTCTCTGCTAGGCCTGGGGACACAGAGATGAGCAGAAATGGTGTGACATTCAGGGAACTCTCAAGACCAGTAGTCTAGTTAGACATACGCTGCAAGGTGATAAAAGACACAATAAAGGACATTAGAGAAGAAAGAAGGAGCAAATGGAGTGCCTCCTGAGGTGACCCAGGAAGGCCTGCAGAAGGAGAGGATGCTCAAGCTTTGCCCAAATAGACCTTGGTCATGGCAGGAAGGGTGGTAGAGGCAGGCAGAGCTGCTGGTGGAAAAGGCAATGGACAAGGGACAGCCGAGCATGCTTGGCTATCAGGTGTCATTTGGAGGGGGAGAATGGAGGGAGGTGAATAAGGAGAAGTGGGCAGAGGCTAAATCCCTAAGATGTTGGCCTGCTGATGAGGGGCTTTAAACTGTATCCTGAAAGCGAGACAGGGGAGGGCATCAAGGGAGCATAAGTTCAGGGAGCTTGGATTGCCTGTGGAAACATTAAGAAACACATATTCTTCCGGGGGGAAAAAAAATGGTTTGCCTTTAAATTGGGTCCACAGCCCTGACATTTGAGATAACCTTGCAAATCTGGAAATGTGGAACATTCATTCCATGCCATCTTTGGGTTGGAAGCACATGACCACCCACAGCTGATTCTGCTAGGTTTTCCTTGACCTTGACCCAGAACTGTTGGGTGCCATGGGGTAACTCATGGGCCTTTCATTGTCTCCCCATAGGAAAGCTCTGCAGAGGACCTCCTGAGGTTAACATCTAAAAGTTTGCCTGACCTGACCAGCTCAGTGGAGGACGTGTCCTCTTGGACTGACAACGAAGAACAGGAACCAGATGGGGACGAGGACGTAGGAACCGGCTCGTCTTCCGTCCACGGAGCAGTAAGTGTACCTCTGGTTTGAAAGGCTGCTCTGCTGGAATGAATGATGTTTTCCTGAAGACATGGGTGCCAGGAGCCCAGATAACAGCTTGAGATAGTATGATAGAGGCCAGGATAGGGAAGAATCGCAGTACATTCTTTTTATTTTTTTAATCAAAATCTTCCAGAAAGATCTGTGAAGGTAATACTTTTCATTTAACAAAAAAAGTTGAAACTAGACACAAAATAAGAAAGCAATGGGGTATTAAGTTCCATGCATATATCAATTTCTGGGATGCTTAATATATACAAGGATTTTATTGCTACGTATTGATAGAGTGTTTGAAAACTATTGTTTGTATATTTAAACTTAGACTGGGAAATTTCTGGTTGAAAGTGGAACGTTAAAATAACACAATACCCATTCAGGCAAAGCTATACAGATACGTCTTAGAATTTTAATCAAACCAGGACTCTTGCACGGCTCGGAGCGCTTCCTTACACAACCTGTGGTGGTCCACACCCTCAGTGGTCTGCTCTCACGCACTGCCTGCGGAAGCGCTTTTGGTTAACTGGGGTTGCAGAGTGGCTTCATGGTCTCCGCTTTGTATCCCAGATCTGACAGATGTGTCATTTTTATTTTTTTTTAAGATTTTTATTGGGGAATTGGGGGGATGGGAACAGCACTGGGGAATTGGGGGAAAGGGAACAGACAAGTTGCTGTTGTTTTGTTCTTCAGTCTAGTTGTGGAGGACGTTGCTTCACTGGCCCAAGTTGGCACCATCATTGCGCTCTTCCCAG